GTTTTTTATAGTGATTCTTTTTTTTTTTTAAATTTAAATGCATCACACTTCTGTGAACTATATTTGGAGTAGATTTACAACAAATGTGTGAAAGACTGGGAATAATATTTGGTCTGTGTGGAACTGGTTTCAGTATTACCTGATAGCCATACTATTCTACTTTTTTTTCAAAGCTAAATTAAATATGGCTGATAAGAGTATAAATCAAACATAGATTACATATCCATTAATAGATATCAACATCATAAATAAACGTCTAATCTACCACTTGGACAAAAAATTATAGAAAGTAGCATTGCCTCCTTAAAAGATCAGAAAAGTATCAGCAACTGTGCTACTAAATTCAAGACTTGAGGCTCACAGCCCAAGACACTGACCATCCACAGAATCTTAACTAGGTGGTCTTCAAAATTAAACTTAGCCTTAGGCAGTATAGCTCTAAAATTCTAGGAAGGGACAAGAATTAGTCTCAATTGCAATGCAAATTTGCACAATGTTGGAGGGGAAATTTGTGGTGTAGCAAGTAAGAATAATTAGAAGACTGAGAGAGCTCTCTCTTTTACTGTATCTGTATTTACTGTACTGTTCTATCAGGTTGGTCAAAACTTCAGCAGAACAATGGGAAATCATACAGTAACAGAAAGAGTGAACCTCTAGTCCTCCAGATCTGAGTGATTTATACCTTCCATCATCCCTGATCATTGCTAGAAAGGACTGATGGGAGCTGAAGTGCAACATTTGGAATGCCATCTGGAACAGATGGATCTGTCTTATACAATACCAGATTATTTATCTAACCAGGACTGGGATCTTCTCTGTGTAGAGCAAAAATATGCAACATTTGGGATCAAAAAGCCACAACTGGCTTTGGAGTGGTATGTGGGGACTGTACTGCAAAATGTAGATGGGTTCAGGACAAAAGCTTACATTCCTTTTAAATTTAATTAAAATCAAATTAAAGCTGTTAGCATAATTACTCCTCATGTATTTAACAACTTTTTCCTTCTGTAATATTCCGAATTACAACATGGTGGCAATTTTGGGATGGGCTTCAGGAATCACCTGCAAGACTTTCTAAACAACATCCAACCCTCAGACTGTGTATCAGTGAGGTAGGCCATGTGCCCTGCCTAAGCTGAGGCTGACATCATTGCACTGTCCTTTCCCTTACTGCAAATACAGTCTAACTTAATACAGTATAAAAGAAAATGCCAGCTCAGCCCTGGTATAAAACCACAAGTAGATTCCTTTAAACTCATAGGGGATTATTACATTAACAACCAAGGTGAACAGATGGGAAACAGGTTAAAGATGGCTATTCCAGAGCCACCTGGCCTTGTTCCTTTGTGCTTGTGTTCCCCAGATGGACCCTGGACAGATGGAGCCAGCAGTAAGAAGTAGTGAAGAAGTCTGTAATTGTCACACTGAGTAGCTGAAGGCTGGGATGGCTGACAAGCATCCAACTTTATCCTGTCAGGCAAAGGATTTGTTGGCAGAGAGTTGGCCAGCCCTGACGGGTCTTTACCCCACAGCCAGAGACATCCCTTGAAATCTAGGATCTAAAGCCCTGGGGATTGACTGCACCTCAAAATGCGCTGGCATTTCTATGAAGCTGAGACTTTTAATACTGAAATGTTGCGGTATGAAAACACATCAAAGCTACTGGAATGTGGAGTGGACTCATGTGCAGAGGCGTCGGTGTAAAACGAGTAACTGATGGAGAAGGATACAAGTCCTACAAGACCAACCACAGCTATATTAGCCAAGAATATAATCTGCCATGGTAGCACCACTTTTAATGCATCTTCAAGCCAAGAGATGCCAGGGCTTCTGATTTCTGGCCCTCCACATGTTGCTACACTTTCTTTCCAGCCAGCTGCCGTAACTAAGCTGACCAATGGTGAGGGATGCTGATCGGTGTAATTCAGCAATATCTACAGGGCCAACGTCCTTCACTGCATTCAAAGCATTCCGCAAGACTTAATGTCAGAGGATCTCAAACCTGCCTTCTAGGTGTCTGCTGGAGTTACAACTTCCAGAATCTCAGCAAGCATCACTAAGAACTATTCAGAAAAGGAGCATGGCTAGAAAATGGCTCTGTAAATCACTACTCATCTGTAGCAAATAAATTATCTCTGTGACACGGCAGGTTAGTTTTTGTAACTGGAGAGACTAATGTTTTGCTTCTCTGCACTCCTAGTTCCAGGCCTTTGAACAAGCTTTCTTAGGCTTAACACATTTTATTTCATGGTAGTTCAGTGTAGCTTATTGTCTTGCCATCCAGTTTTTGATCCTGCATTTGATTCTATTGTAGTAATACAGATTTTTCTGTTTATGTTACAACAAAGCATGAGAATATGGACAAAAACTTACCAACCTCTTTTTTATATTTGCAAGTAAATCACTTTTGTAAAGTTGGATTTTAGTAGCTGCGAAAAAAGTAAGGTTTACTGGCTGGATGAAAACGCAGCTCTTTTTACTTTAGCTTTGGAAAGGGGGAGCGCGCTATAGAAAGTCCAGTTAGGCTTTCGTTCATAGCCCTTCATTCCTGTATGTCCTAACATGGTGCTGAGGCTGCCATAAAAAGCACTGGATTATTTCCATACAAATATAAGTAACAAAAACAAATCCACAAAGAAGAATTACCCTCATCAGTAATCTTTGCCCTAGTAAAAGCATGGTGCCTGCTGTTCCTTCTTTTTTTTCCACAATGGTGAGCCCTTGCTTTCCCTGGGAGCACACTGCATTCCGGAAGGTTGATATCCCATGAATGACACCCATCCAGACTCTGTCAGGTCTCTGCAAGCTAAGCCCCCATCTGGCTCTGTTCATGGGCACACACACACATGCAAGTGTGCACACACGAACACATGCCTCATTCCCAGCTTCCAGAGAGAACTACTGGCTTTCTACCTTTTGTTCAGGTGAAGAAATGATCTGATTATGTTGCTGGTGGTCCACTAAGGAGGAAGTTCACAGAAGAAAAATCTGCCCGCTACTAGCTGTGACCCTAAATGAACACTTTCCCCATTCACTTCTCAGCTTCAAGGAATCTTCCACTATCCAGGATATGGAGCTTTCCTGACTGCTAAGGTCCTACCTTACAGTGGATATGGTGCCACAACAGGTGCTTGGGACCGAGCCCTCAGCGTACTCACGAAGCAGACTGACAACAACGGCAGTCCCTTCCCCCTCCCCACCTTTGGAGCAGTTGTTGTTTAGTGCATACACAATCTCTTATGTACTCAGTTGCATCCAGTTCCTCTGTTTGGATAGTTGGTAGCAGCTCACATTACTGTGTAGCTTTTCTCACATCCCACACGAGCGTCACAGATCTCTGCCAAGGCTGTGCTGATGACTGCTTGCTGGTGTAAGCAGCATTCTTTATTGTGTGCTTCAGATTTCTGTTCAGATTTAATTGTGAGTGAATGGGGTGAACTCTACCCCACCCCCTGCATATAAACATTTCCTTTTCTCCCACTTACGTGTTCAGAAAACACGGGGATAGTGTCATAGAACTATAGGCCAAAACAACAGATGAGTTTTGCTACTCATTACAGAATTCGGGTTGAGAAGTAACTTTTCTTCAGGACAGATCAATAATCTATCCTCTTCCCATTTTTTTAAAACTTACATGTACAGGGGAGTCCCTTGATGCACTGGCCTTCCTATGTTGATAGGAAGGTTTTCAGATGAACTGAAAGCACAACTAGTACAATAGTGCATGTGATCAGAGGCCTGATTGCACAAGGATCTCCATCACATAGACCACCATCGTCATAGCGGTATTCTTTTGACCTATCTAGGCTGTTTAACAGAAGTAAAAAAAAATCTGGAAAATTTAAATCCAAATTGCTTCTTTTATGGGGGAAGAGAATGGAAATGTTGGGGGGGGGGATACTTTTCAAAAGTACCATTTACAGATCTAAAGTCAATTTGTTGCTTTACAAACAATGACGACCCCCAGGAGGCACCACATTACTGGATAGGCAGATGTTATTCTATGGGGTTCAAACCCTCTATTGGAACTTGAACTCACATAACGTTGCACTTTAGATGACTCTATACCATGTCTTAACTTTAGAATTGACACTTTTGAACTCTGGTGTTGGAGAAGACTCCTGAGAATACCACGGACAGCCAAGAAAACAAACAAATGGATCATTGAACAAATCAACCCAGAGTTCTCACTTGAGGTACAAATGACCAGGTTCAAATTATCCTGTTTTGGACCCATTATGCAAAGATCTCTCTCTCTGCAGAAGGTTCTAATCCTGGGAAAGGTGGAAGGAAAGAAAAGATGATGACTAGCAGCAAGGTGGATGGACTCAGTTACAGTGGCAATGAGTGCATTGTTGGAAGATCTGAAGGACCAGGTTAGGGACAGATTATCATGGAGAAAATCTATCTATGTGGTCACTAGGAATCACAATGACTTGATGGCCAATATCAATTAAAAGATCTTGATGTTCAGCAGTTGCAGGAAGGGGTATCTAGAAGCATTATCAGAATGGTATATACAACCCACCTTCTGTCAAGTTCCCAAAGCAAAGAGATACAGATGTTATATCATGCCCCCATTTACAGTGTTGTACATGACTTCTGCCCTGCCCTAGTTTTACATGGCTTCCAGGGAGGTGGAAGTCATGTAAAAAACCCCATACTTGGAGGTGTATAACATCTGTCATTTTACAAACGTAAAAGTTGTGTTCACCCAGCTTCCTTAATCTGATTATTAAGTGAATCCATTTTCTAAGTTTACACAATACATTAATGAAACACTTTGGGTCTCAAAACATTCAAAGCCACTAAAAGCTAACCCAGGTTAGTGCTAATCAAGGTTAGTATGCTCCGCTCTATTTTTTTAACTGACCTGGTTAACAATATTATGTAAACCCATATATTATACATAACAACTCCTAAAATAATTCAATTATATTGTATATCAAAAGTATACAATTTATTTAAAAAATGGTTGATTCATACATCTAAAAGGAGGGTTGTGAGTGATTTTGCCAAAACATATCATATGAGTAAGAATTCAATATAATTTACATACGTTATTAAGATATAACCATATAGATATTATAAACTAGAATTCAATATACCTTTCAGAAAACCCTGAAGCCTCTCCCAGCCTGGAGAAGGATAGGAGATCTAAAGAAACCGCTTTTCTACTGTATTAAAATGATAGTGTCCCCTGAAGGCAGAAATAAATTTCTTCATTGTAAATATGGCTTGTCTTCAGCAGAATTTTAATGATCCTGGATAGAAAAACTGAATAGCATACTTATTTGAATGTAGAGGTTTGCAATCCTTAGAAATAAAGTATATAATGCTAGAAAATCAACTTCTTGTTTCAGGAACCTGGTCCTGTATCTTTGGTATTGTCCATGATACACAAAAAAGAGGAGCAACCAGAAGGGTCACCCTGCCTTTGTACGCTGAGTACGCTTACATCTATACCATCTGCATTAGGTCCCCTTCACCACAATCACAGGTATAACAATGGACCCACCTCTGCTCAGCAAAACCAGCTTACTATTTCACAGGGCTGAATGTATTTCGTTGCATGTTCCCTTTTTCCCTTCCCCCCCTGCAAAAAAAAACATGTATTTGTGGCAACACTGGGCAATTTAAGAGATCTGTTGGCAGTCATCTGCTGGCAGTAATACTACTGCCAACAAATAATTAACATGCATGTGTGAACTGATTGCTCCACTCGCCTTTCTTTCTGTGATGCCAACTAAAATAGATAGGCGCATTTAAACAGCAATTGCATTATGAGACAATGCTAAGCATCCGAGTTCCCTTCATTACTTCCCTTGCAATTGTCGGTCCTTCTCTTGCATTTGTTAGTCTGTTAGCTGTTTGTTACAAACAGCTGGCTATGTTACAGAACCTGCTGCACGGACTGAACAATTATATATTTATAATTATAGTCCCCTGTGACTGCAGCACACGGGGTCGTCAGAACATCTTGTAAGCTAACTGACGTGTTGTAAAAGGCACAAAGAAATTGGGAACTTTCTCAAAATAAGAGCAAGTTATTTGCTTAACTTCATTGCAGCAGAAAAGGAGGGAAAAGAGGCACTTTGCTTTAATACTTCGGGAAAATAATGCATTCATTTACCTTATGATAAAAGCAATTATCAGTGGAACCCTTTTTCCCTAAAAGTGGTGGGCTCCCCTTCACTGCATATATTCAATCAGAGGCTGGGCAACTCTCTGTTGGGGAAGTTTTAATTCTAATTCTTGCCTTGAATGGATGGGGGTCTCAGCTATCTAACTCTGATTCTAGGAATCCTTCTTTCATGTTTGTGTAATAAATAATTGACCTAAAGGCCATAGAGGACTGCAGCTCCATGGTAAACCACGTGATATCAGTTGAGGGTCCCATATTCAGAGCCTAATGCCTGGATCAGGTAGCAAATGATGGAGGGGGGGGCTCCTGAGACCTTCGGGAGTTGCCAGCAGCTAGAGGGATAAATAGCCTGACCTGCTGCACATACAAGGGGGCAGAGGTGGCATAGCTGTTGAATGATAGACAACATATGGATTTCCTTTTCGTCTTGCACTACAGGGCCCGTCTACTGTAAATGGATTATATCTTTCATCAACAATCCACTCTCTTCCTTATACTTCTCTCAGCTGCAGCAGCTTCTATTAGAGGACAGAATTTACTTTTAGGCACCTTTTTTCAGCCAGTGGAGGCGAGGAGTAATCACATATCAGAATGCTTATATTTTATTTATTTATTTATTAAATTTTTCAACCACCCATCTCCCTCCAATGTGGTCTCAGGTGAAGTTTTGCCATGCAACATCTCGCATTTCCATTTCGTACCTTTTTTTCTTTTTCTTTTTATTAGACATGAAAGGTTTGTTTTTTTGGTTTGGTTTTTCCAGCCCAGAGCTATTGTTTAATTTAAGGCGGGGGAAGGAGCAATCCTCAAATAGACATCATAATGCAACCCTGTATTTTCGTTTGCACTGGAGCACCGAGACAGGAGTTCAGCGTACTGAATAAGGGGGCTGTCACTGAAACAGTCCAGAAGCAATTCAGAGCATGGCTGAAAGACTGCTAACTCTGAGTGGGCAACAAAAGCACATTGCACCCTGCTTTGTCATCGTCATGGGCTCCTAGTCTATTTCTGAGCCCAGTTGACCTTTAGGGCTCTTTTTCACAGCTCAAGATTAGGGTTTTCTCCACACATATATTTCAAGTGAAGGAGGCTGTAAGACAGTGTTGTCCAAACTTGGCCACTTTAAGATGAGTGGACTTCAACTCCCAGAATTCCCCAGCCCCCCACGCTGGCTGGGGAATTTTGGGAGGTGGAGTACACTCATCTTTATGAGGGCCAGTTTTGACAACACAGGTGTAAGGGGAAAAAGCGTCT